AGGTGGGTGAAATGAGGACCCGGATTGTTGTTGGGGGCAATATACTGACTCTGTAAACCGCTTCAAGAGGGCTGAAAGCCAATAAAGAATTCTATTTTATTCTATTTGATTTGATTCTACTCTATTCTATTCTATATAATGTATCTTGTCTTTTTTATGTACAATGAGAGCATAGGCACCAAAGACAAATTCCTTGTGTGTCCAATCACACTTGGCCAATAAAAAATTCTATTCTATTCTATTACTATCAGTCTAAGTCCTCCATACAAGAGGAAGGCAAAGAGTGTTGACTAGACCCACTCTGACATTGGATGAACCCCTTCAAGCCATCAGAGTCTTGAGACTAAAAGATGCGTCAGTCCCTGAGCAGAAGAAGTTCCACACCAACGAACATTAAAGTAGCAACTCTTGAAAGTCCTTGGCCAAGAAGACAGCCACGATCCATTGATCATACAATTTATGAAAATAGAAGCCTCAACCTACCCATTACGTGGCTTGAGGAGAGGTTGATGAAGGAATCCATCAGGATCAAACCAGGAGAAAGAGCAACGTTGCTAAAGGCCCCTTCCTCCTCTCACAGAGCGTGCAAGAAAGCCACTAGACCACCATCTCCCCCTCTTCCTTCATCAACCTCTCCTCAAAGCCTCGTCGATGGCCTGAAGAGGTTGCAACCTCATCCTAACAGTTCCTCACCTCTGTTTTGCAAACGAATGGTTCACCCCTTGGCCAAGAAAACAACCACGACCCAGGGACACATTAATCATATAACTTATGAAAATAGAAGCCTCGACCTTAACATTACGTGGCTTGGTTTTTCTGGAAAGGGAAAACGAGGAAGAAAGCTGGGGCTTTTAAGCAAGAGGACAGTGTAAACAGAAACTTCAACCGAGTCCTGGGTTAATTTATACGGGAGGATGGAAGCCGAGAGCTGCAGGAATACATTGGAAGACTACCCACCCTTCGAACGGATGGTGCGCCTGTTTATCTGGGATCAGTCCAGACCTTTTGGCCTCTGGGCCCTGGACATGATCACAGCCCCAGGATATTTGACAGTGAAGCAAACCAGCTGCAAAGTGTGAGGCCTCTGGGGCATCAGGAGGGATCTGTGGTTCTGATCAAGGGAGTGGGGAACTCTTTAGCAACTGGGGGGGATGAGATCGACAGAATAATAGAGTCGGAAGGTCTTCTAGTCCCACCCCCTGCTCAAGCAGGAGACCGGAGATCATTCCAGTCAAGGGGCAGTCCAATCCCTTCTTGAAAACCTTCAGTGATGGAAGTCGGTGGAGATTCTCCGTCCTCTAGATCCTGGTTGTCCCAAAGGTGCTTTTTCAGGAGGCAACTGGACTTTCTTGTTTTTCTTTTGAAGATGTTTTGCTTCTCATCCAAGAAGCTTCTTGGATGAATGGATCTCCAGAGGGAAAAATTCCAGACTACAGGAATCTTTTGCACCACTGAGGTGACCCCGAGGACACAGATAAACCTCCAAGTGGCCTCAAGGACCCTCTCAAAGGATGCATAGGACCAGCTGTCTGCAAGGAGTATAAATCCTTCCATTCCCCACCATCCAGTCAGAACTGAAGAAGCTTCTTGGATGAGAAGGGAAACATATCCGAAAGAAAAAAAGAAGAAGAAAGTCCAGTTTGGGACTCCAGTGATGGAGCACCCACAATTTCTGGAGGCAAGTTGTTCCACTGATTAATTGTCCTCATAGGAAATTTCTCCTTAGTTCTAGGTGTCTTCTCTCTTTGAATGCTTCTTGTCCTGGTGCAGTGTTTCTCAACCTTGGCAACTTGAAGATGTCCGGACTTCAACTCCCAGAA